TGGTCACTCAGAATGACACATAGGCTTCAAGATCTGGCATATGCCGTCACTCGTAAAATGAGCCAAAATTAAGATCTCACAATATCACTGAACCATATGTATAAACCATAAGAGTTTTGGATGGTACAATTTATGAAAGAAGAATAAATTGTCATTTAAATGTGGAACAGTAATACGGTGGTCACTCAGAATGACACATAGGCTTCAAGATCTGGCATATGCCGTCACTCGCAAAATGAGCCAAAATTAAGATCTCACAATATCACTGAACCATATGTATAAACCATAAGAGTTTTGGATGGTACAATTTATGAAAGAAGAATCACTTGTCATTTAAATGTGGAACAATAATACGGTGGTCACTCAGAAGGACACATAGGCTTCAAGATCTGGCATACGCCGTCACTCGCAAAATGAACCAAAATTAAGATCTCACAATATCACTGAACCATATGTGTAAACCATAAGAGTTTTGGATGGTACAATTTATGAAAGAAAAATCACTTGTCACTTAAATGTGGAACAATAATACGGTGGTCACTCAGAATGACACATAGGCTTCACTTGCAAAATGAAAAAAATGCCGTCACTCGCAAAATGAACCAAAATTAAGATCTCACATTATCACTGAACCATATGTATAAACCATAAGAATTTTGGATGCTACAATTTATGAAAGAAAAATCACTTGTCATTTAAATGTGGAACAATAATATGGTGCTCACTCAGAATGATACATAGGCTTCAAGATCTGGCATATGCTGTCACTCGCAAAGTGAACCAAAATTAAGATCTCACAATATGACTAAACTATATGTATAAACCATAAGAGTTTTGGATGGTACAATTTATGAAAGAAGAATCACTTGTCATTTAAATGTGGAACAATAATATGGTGGTCACTCAGAGGGACACATAGGCTTCAAGATCTGGCAAGTGCGGTCACTCACAAAATGAAAAAAAATTAACATCTCACAATATCACTGAACCATATGTATAAACCATGAGAGTTTTGGATGGTACAATTTATGAAAGAAGAATCACTTGTCATTTAAATGTGGAACAATAATACAGTGGTCACTCAGAATGACACATACTGTAGGCTTCAAGATCTGGCAAGTGCCGTCACTCGCAAAATGAACCAAAATTAAGATCTCACAGTATCACTGAACCATATGTATAAACCATAAGAGTTTTGGATGGTACAATTTATGAAATTAATAAGAATCATTTGTCATTTAAATGTGGAACAATAATACAATGGTCACTCAGAATGACACATATGCTTCAAGATCTGGCAAACTTATGCCGTCACTTGCAAAATGAACCAAATTAAGATTTCACAATATCACTGAACCATAATTATGTATAGATGTAAAACAAGAGTTTTTGACTGTAAAAATTTCAAAAGGAAAATTATTTGTCATTTGAAACGTAGCAGAATATTAAATAATAAATTATAGTGACCACTGCTTTGTCAAGTGCTGTCACCTGAAAAGTACAGTAACCCCAAAGATCTAACATATTAACTCAGCTGTACAACAAGCCAAATTACTGAATTATGGACATGCTAAGGTCACATCACCGACTTATATTAGTGTAAAAGAAATGTTTGCCTGCACAGCTCAAGATCTGGCTACTTAAGATTATCCCATTAATGAAAACGATGCGCATAAGCGTACGGGCCGGGGGGGGCGAGGGGGCTGCAGCCCCCTCAAAGTTTGGGCAACTCAGATTTTTTGGGCAGCAGGAGAAAATTTGGGCAAAGCCAGTTTTTAAAGATGTTTCCATGTTTGTTATTATTATTATTATTATTTTGAAGAGATAAATATTTTCTATTTCAACCAGAAGTCGGGCGTAATAATTCAGTTACGTTCACACGAGACAGTGGTTGCCTAGCACGTGATGAGTTTCTGGTTATAAGGGAAGGTTATCATATGTTGATTTTTTTTATTGTTGGGCACTGTACTTCACTGTACTAGCTGGAATGGGCCAACCTTGTCCCCGGGGCTTTTCCCGCCCCACCCATTTTTTAAGGGAAAAGCCCTGGGGACGAGGTTGGGAATGGGCTATTTCCAGTCGTGAATTGATTAGAATAAACTTCCGCATAACTTTCTAGAATCACCTCCGCTCCTAGAACAGTGTGTGGCAGAACACGCATCAGCAATGGGTCTGAAAGTGAAGTGGCTGACTAATTTTCAGTTTGAATTACGAGAAGAATCATAATTTTTTTAAAAAATCTATCGAGCAGTTTAAAAATTATTCACTAATTTGTTTAAGTAGACCTAAATGTTTACAAAACCCCGAACAAGATCGAGCGCTAATCAAATCCTTCCTTATAGCAATTGGCAGGAGCTATCTCCATGATCTTTCACCGGCACACGTTTTTAAAATGATTGAAACTACTATGAGGTGAAATTGCATGTCAAAAGCGCTCCGTTTTCTTCAGATTACGACTAAACATCAAGATTTTCCTTTTTTACCTTATTTCTAACAATAAAAACTTCATCCCAAAATATCTCGATAACGCTCTTACAGTTCCGTTTTAACTTCACGAACATCGAGGCGACTATTGGAGGGAAGAGCTCCCCTGAACGATTTTGTCAGAACAGTTCCCAGTGAGAAATATAGCTGCGAGTATAATAGGTAATGGCGTCATTTCGTTGCTATGACAGCGCCGATGTCATTGCAATCCTGATCATGACAAATTTCCCTCTTTATCTAATACAACTGTGGTGGCATTTTTTTTCCAAATGCTTGTTTTATGCTCAAACTTGGCAGGTATTGACTCTGAAAAACTGTATCGAGCCACTTTCATATGCCAGTACGGCCTATTTTGTTGCATGGCCCTAGTTTCCTTTCGACTGTTTTGTAAACATTTGGGCAACTTGCAAGAATGTTTTGGGCAAATGTATTACCGCCCCCCCTGGCAAAAAATTGGCCGTACGCCTATGACGATGCGCAACAAAGAGTACAGTTATTTCTGCAGTAAACAAAAAGGAATCAATCAATGGCATATCTATGCATACATCTTAAATTTCAAGATTTATCTTTGAGGTTTTAAGCTTACGCAAAGTTATTAGAAAACCAAAGTAAGTAAACGAACCACGATATCAAGAAGAACATACCTTTCTGCAATCCAGCTGAGTTGATGACTTGGAAACAGGCTTTATGTGAAGAATATCGCAACTGATCACTGTCTCTCGAAAATGACAAAGGTATAAATCGTAATAGAACAGCTGAATAGAAAGACAGGCTTTCTATTATCCGAAAATAACAAAACTACTCGTTTTGCAACGCTGTATCGCTTGTGAAGTCCGCGTGAATTTGAACTGTTCAACGAAAGTTTATTTTACACTATTCTATTGGTTCAAAAGCCGCACGTGACAATGTAAATCAAATCGCGCATGTGCCAAAGTCACGTGGAAACCTGGGAAACAACAAACATGGCGGCTGATCTTGCGACGGAGTGCATTCAGGACTACATTCACCCGGACGATGAAACTCTGCAATCTACTATTGAAATGACTCCTGGGTTCAAACCTTCCACATATTGTGCATTTTGTTCACCCAAATTCCGAGACTTCTTGTGATATTTTTTTTTTCCGAGCCACCGACCCAATATCAGGAAACGCATTCGACGGTAAACGAAAAAAAAGGGGGGATGGCCTTACCCGAAATAACCAGCTAGCGCTGCAGCAAGTAATATGATAAACTTTGAGAAGAATGTGATGGTGATTGAAACGGGGCGATGGAAAATCAAAACTTGCGTAAAATAACACTGTGAAGTTTGGTAGATGTGCAAACGTTGGGTAAAGTGGTCGTAAAGATAGTTCTTTGATCATATTTTGCTTAAATTTACGCCTCTAGTAACCATAAATTTACACAGTAACTTTGCTATGCCAGAAAATATCAAGCAAACATTCATTTTTGACGTTCGATTTTTACACAGAGAACAAAATGGCGGCAAATTTGAATCTAAACACCAGATTTACTATGGGGAGCAAAAGTGAAACAAAATATCTGTAAACTTGATATTTACTCCACATTTACGCCACCCTTGCAGAGAAGTAAACTTTCACTTTCGAACAAAATTTGCACCAAGAACAAATAAGTAGCAACATTAGTACCCTAAATTTACAATAGATTTGCTCAACTAGCAAACTTAGGCAAATCCGTTTTTTCGTCCAGTGTTAGTAGATAAGACAGAAGCCGTAAGTTATTCCTGTTGCTGTGAGGTAAAAAACCCTGATTTTTTCGATGTTGCAGGAAAAATTTGACAGTCTTAGTATACCTCCACTCGGTCAAAGAGTGGTGGATGCAGCAGGAACATCAGCGTAAGTTTCAAGCGTTTTTATAAATGTAAGTTGTATTATTTAAACCGCATTTGATAACAGTTTTGTAAAAATCCTGTCAGGATTTTTATGCAGTTTTGTTCGTCTTTGAAAGTCTAAACTATTCGTGTAAATACATTTGAGGTTAGAATCCACCTTTATAGCTAAACTCTGAATAAACTTACCTCACTTTTTTGCTGATATAAAAGCCCTCCCAAAGCCAAGTTGTTGTAGTCGTTACTTCTTGCACATGAAGATTTTTTTAAATCGTTCTACAGTCATGTTTTACGCTGTACTGATTTTCACCTCGAGAAAAAAAGTTAATTTGCAAATAATTTTTACTGCAGCACAGAAATCGTTTTAGGCAATTAATATGGAATCAAAAGTTTGTAAGCTTACCACTATTAACACTGACTGAAAATATAATTATTGGCACTTTATTTATATTCAGAAATTATTCCATGAAATGGTCAGAAGAGTACGATTTCATGCTATGCACCCAAAGCAAAGTACAGAGAGAGGAGAAATCTGGGGAGAAATAGCACAAAACTTAAATGGCTCAGTGTACCCAAATTTACCTTAAGAAAGCGGTCAGTTAGGGACAGGCTCACTCTTTTGCTGAGGAAGTACAAAGAAAAGGTGAGAAACGAAGAGCAGGGTTCTGGCATGAAATGTGACAAGGAAACAGAATTGGAGATGGCATTGTCTGAAATCATAGAAAAAGAACAGGCAGCTGATTTAGAAAGGAAAGAAAACACGAACACTCTTACCAAGAAGAATGAAAACGACAAGGCATCAGCCGAAGAAAGTAGGTTGAAGGCCTTGGAGCGCCTGGGCCAAACAAAAAAGACGAATGCTGATTCATGTGATGAAGCTATCAAACCAAAAAGCAGAAGAAGTACCACTGAAGCTGTGCAAATTCTAAAAGAAAAATTTGAGAATGACAAGGAATTCCGGAAGGAAGAAATGGAATTGAAAAAGAAAGAGCAAGAAAATAAAGCAGCTCAGCATCAAATGCTGATAGATCAGCAGAGGCAGAACCAGCAACAGTACCAAGATGTAATGAAGACGATGGCTGAACAGCAGCAGAGGCAGGAACAGCAGCTACAGAACTTTCAAATGCTTTTCCTGCAGCAGCAACAACAACAGAGTCAAATGTTAATGATTTTACTTGAAGACGTAATGCCCAAATCCTCATAAGAGCTGGCAAAGGCAAAACAAAAGTTGAAAATCAAATTGTCAACCTTTGGCCCTTTCAGCCTTTTAGAGCCATGTTGTTGTTATCATAATTTTTAACTGATTATTTTCCAACTATAATTTTATCTCTTTTTTTTCTGGTGACTTTGCCTGTCCAGCTTGGTGATTAGTTTTTCTTCACCTCGACTTCAAAGGTTGATGGGTTGTTTACACTGCTGGAGCAAGGAATTTTCTTAATGCAGTGTTTACAGTGATCAAAGATACATAGTTGAAGCTAAGATAACTTAAGTAAACCCTTTCACTCACAAGGATATAGAAGTTATGAATTAAAACTTCAAATTAACTATCACATGGCTGATAAAATGCTGGAAACCTTTGTAGTAACATCACATAAGAATCATTGCTGCTAGATAGGTGGCATATAGTATAAAAACATGGTCTTAAACATCATCGTGAGAAAGAAAGTAGTACATTGATGTTTAGACACTGGGAGTGAAAGGGTTTCATTAAGATGTCCTTTGAAATTTTAGAACGTTAGTGTTAGGATGTGCTCCATTTTCTTACATTTAAGCATAGGTTGAGCAAAACATTGAAATAAGAATAGAATACACATACCCTTTTCAGTACTCTTTTGAAGCATTAGCATCTTATTGCTCAGTGTCCGGCTCTGGAATTATTTGTATATTCCTTTTAAGCCTAGGGCTATGAAGCGGGGGGGAGGGGGAGGTCTTTGAATGAATCTTTTAACTTTTTAATGAATTGATCTATAGGCACCAAATTGATCTGGAAATATTCGTTTGTGCCATTATGTTTATGTGACATTTGCATTTCCATAGCAACTACATAAATCAAAACTTGCATGTGTGTCGTTTTCTTTTATTTTCTTCCTGTACATTGAAGGTGCTTTTTTAAAGTATAATTCCTTTTTTCCTACAGTCTATATTTTACATCCCATCACACTGAATATTATCCAGGAAGGAGAAAATACATCATCCAAATCAGTGCAGCTAGACTACAATTCATTGAAAGTATTGTTCCAGGGAAGGGGGTTCAATACCAAAATAATCACTGGTGTTATTACCATAAAGTCATGTAATGTCGTTACGGAGAAGTGCGCAGACAACATACATTTTACCGACGCTGCTAAGGCCTATCTTCAAATTCTTTTTATAATCTAGAAATTTAAAAGAATTAATGACGTCACCGAATAACTATTGTACAGAAATCCGTAAAGCGCTCATAGCCTCGTTGTAATCCTGCATGAGGGGTGTAAGTGGGACACGACGGAACGGTGTTTGGAGATGAACTCGGAGAGGGTAGGCCAAATCTCCATAAATGCACATAGCTTGAGCTGCTGGATTATAGGCATACTGTTGAAGGTCCCGCAGTAGTCCAGAATCATTTAACATCCCTGCGTCGTGTTACGCCCCTTTAGAAACGAAATTAAAATCAAACATGAGAAGAGAATTTTTTTTGGGGGGGGGGAGGGGGTTCTTTAAGTTTAAAACACTAACGTTTTATTACGAACTCACCAGCTGGTCCAAATAGGCTGCCAATAAGTCCATTTGGTAGGGACAAGGATTGGAATTTTAACGCTTGGACCCTCTTGTGGCCATTGTACACAATTGTCTGACGCTCATTTGGTCTTGAAATGGGTCGGACTGTTCCATCTACGAAACCGAAACAGTTGTCAAGGGGGCCTCCTTTTCCTGATATAGCTTCTGCATAACGCTGCAAAGCCCCAGGATTCAGAAGATCTCGATTCCATTGTGTTATACGGTGCCCATGAACGTCATAATATAGTCGATAACATCATTTGAGATCAGGCTTATAACAGAAACCGGTCGGCCAAATCGCGGAATCAGATCACTGAGTCTGCATACTCCTCGTTTGAGGAGTATGCATAGGCCTTCCATGTCGTCGCAAATACTCCTCTGGTCGCATTTAAACACCGGTGGTAGTTGGAGGGCTACAACAAGGCGAGGGAGATCGTGTTTCTCGACACGAAACTCTGCTTTGCTTTCCGCAGAGTTCATAGAATCCAAATCAAACCGTTGATAGTTTTCATGGGGAAAATCTGGATTATTTGAGATGAAACTATCGTAAAGTAGCAAAAACTCTTCATCGGAAATAATTTCATCGCCGTAGAGAAGTACAAGGAGGTCACGAAATTCTTTGAAAGACATTTTCCCTGGTGACTTTCACTGTGGGAAAAGACTCGTCCACGTATCGTTACCGGTTTGCTAAATGTTTTTGTTTCTCGCCGAAATACCCCCGTGGACGACGTTCTCGTTCCAGGCCCCAATCGGTCATACCAGTCCTCGTAGTCCTCGTCCTCGTTCTCGTCTTCATTTCTAAAGGTCGCTAATAAACAAACTCGACCGCGTTACTCGTATTGGCAAATTTTATCACTTGTCTGCCCCCTGAAATACCACGTGAGCTCATAGCTTTTATTCCATCGATCCTGGAGCGTGTAAAAAGATGGCAGGTATCGTGAACAAGGTCTATTGCAATTGTTATATCACACACAGCCCACCCTCTGATAAACTGGGGTCGAAACGTTAGTTTTGAAATCTCTTTACGGTCATATTGAGTTTTCTATTCAGTTGATGAAAGCAAATCCCCACCACCGACGCAGTACCAAAGTTGAATTTGAATTTGAATCTAATTACTTTATTCATCTATTCCATGGCCAGAAATCGCGGACATTTGAGCCCGCATTCTATCTGCGGTCTTACCACTAAAATCAAGATAGCGGAAAATACGAGTCGCCGTAGATCAAGAAATGTTCTTGATTATTCAGAGCTAAATGCTCTTTCTTCTGTCGTTCTTTATAACACATCCAAAAGTAAGAAGACTCTTGGCTCTTGTAATAAGCGTTCTTGCTTTGCTTCATGCAAACATCGCAAACAATCGTATCCGATGTGTACAGTGAAAATTATGTCTTCTGTGATACACATTGTTTGCTAAATATCCTTGTAAGTCCTTTCAGTGGCAATAGATGATAAAAGTGTGGATGTTGTGGTTCAATTTTATCCTTGGTTTAAATTTTATTTTCCTCTGTTCTGATGTATGGTAATGTACGATAATGAGTTTAGAACAAAGGAAAATAAAACTTAAACCAAGGATAAAATTGAACCACAACATGAGATACTCGACTTCGCCTGCCACGGACGAAGACTTTCAGCTTTGAACTTCAGCTACAGCTGCAACGTGGGACGAGGGAAGAGGAGGGTGGTTTCCCGGCGGTCAAACGATTTAAAGTGAGATTTGTAAACGCTAAGCAAAGAAAATCAATACTAGGGCTGCTGCTTCACTGTTTAGAGTTGAACTTCCTGAGAGCCTACTAAAAACGCTCTACTGAGTGTTTTTAAAAAAACAAAAACGACTCTGTTGTCGTTGCGGTTAACTTATCATTTCGTGCATCCTTTCTTTGTGTAAACTTATCTAGCAGAGGTGTCAAATTTAATAGCAGTAAATATAATCCCTGCAAATAACACTTTTTGGCAAAAGCGCCTTAGATGGTTGACTACCTGGAGGTAGAGGTTGTCGGTGGGTTGCCAATTTGTTTTCCTCTCGGAGCACTTTCAAAAGGCATCATAAATCCCGAAACTCATTGGCTTGTTACAATCAAATAGCCCCCGGTTATTAAAGTACTGCTGAACCCAAAAAGAATCTAGTAAAAAAATACCAATAAATATTAGTTCTATATCTCATTAACCGGGCAAATTGGTTGTGATGGCAAAAAATGATCTTATCGGTATTTTTTCCAACGCGAAGTTCGTAAGAATAGTGCCGCACTGTATAATGGGAAAACGATGACCGGGCACAATGGTTGACTTTGCGCAGTTAACAGAAAGAGGTCTCTACTGGTCAGCTGCTTCATCATTCGACTGATATTGTGCGTTGTGTACAGCCAAGGCCATAACACCATTTAATGAACCACGTATAATTTACATGTTTATTTATTTATTTGGATTCGACAATTTTGGCGGTGTCACTTCAACAGCATGACCCCAATTACTGCACGCCCCTAAACGTCCCCTACCCTAATGAGAGATAGGCCACACCACCGGAATCTGCGTTCCCTACTCTTTTAGAACACCAGTGTGGGTATTTTTTACGTTGTCCCGTCCAATTGATAACATAGACACGTTTAACTTGCATGAGCTATTTTGAATGCTTCAGTGCAACCTTAATGCTTCAGTGTAACCTTACCAAGAGTGATGAATCTACCTTTTTCATCCTAAATGTAGACTGGGTTTTTGTGCGAAATTGGGTATTGCGGTATATGTACATAAATGTAAACTCGAAACGCTCAGCTGAGTCGATCCTCATGCTATGTATTCACTTTCCTCTGTCTTTCCCTGATACATCTGGGGCGAGTTAAACAAATTGTTGAGGTACAATAAATATCAACTCACCAAACGTTGATTAGAAAGAAACCTCTAAGGTTTCCTCCGAGTTTCTTAAGAAAATGTGACTTATCGAATACTGAATAGTTACGAAATACCAGGATTTTTATCATTGTGGTAGATGGTTGCATCATCATAATTCACGAGGTTTTCACATGCGATTCTACTCAGCGAAACAGTCTTTAACTCTGACAACTTAATTCTTCACGTTTTAAAAGCTATTGCTTCTTTAAAGACAAGAGCCTTTTTTAAGGTATTGGTTACAAAACGAAACAGGCCTTCATACGTTCAAGTTACTATTATTACTGTGAAAAGCCAATCTGCATGAGATGTACAGTCACACAGCTGTCACGTAAAAGTGTTGGACTTTGCCCCCTTTCGTGGTTCGTACGTGAAGGAATTCGAGTTATCAGACAGTAATCTAGTAAACCGATAACAATATAAACTCATACACACAATTTGCACGTGACGATGCTAGACTTTGCCCCTTTTAAAATTTGTACGTGAAAGAACGCATATTGTTCACGAGATTACTTTGCTTAAATGATTTTAACAATTCACCTCCTTTTCTAACATCTGCCATAAAAT